TATTAAGAGATATAAGAAGGCTTTCAATAGTATTCGCTATTCTAAGACGATACTCTTTAGAAACGCTAGTTACTTCCGCTATAAGAGTAACTTTAAGTCTCGACTATAGCCTGATTTTTCTACTCTCGACTCTAAGTATATAGAGGAAGGCTCCGGTACTATACTTAAGGACAACGTATCCTAGATAGAATAGATAGTATATTAGTTAGGCCCCCGGGGCCTAACCGGGAGCTTCCGGATATAGGGAGGGTTTAGGTTTTTACGGTTAGGTATATTGTTTTCGACGAGTCGTTTAGGTCTGCTTTTCTAAACGTAATCGTTAGATAGGGAAGGGGTTTTTGTTATACCTATATCTACGGGACAGACATATAGGTAGAGGAGGGTATATTAAGCGGCTAGGCGTGTTTCTTCTACGTAGGGCGTTAGAGTAGAGCCGAGAGCCGGACGGCCCGGGAGGGCCGTACTACTCCCGGCGGGTAGCTATATAGAGTGCTTTTCTTCTTTTTTATAATAGAGGACAGGAGGGATATAATTAGGACGTAGACGTATAGATACCTACTCTACTATAATTGATATCGTTACTCTATAGTGCGCTTTGTCTTCTAATATTACCTTTCCTACTACCTACGGGCATCTCCGCGTCCTTCCGGACCTCTACCTATCCTACCCCTTTTACCGTAGAGCTACGCCGCGACCTACTGTAAGCCCGGCTAAGCCGGGCCTATCCGATTGTCTACTCGAGGACGGTAGTAGGAGAGAGGGCTTTACGGTAATAATAGGTATATATATATATATATATATACTATATATAGTATACCCGGACTATCTAATATTACCTATTTATATATAATCTACCTTATACCTCTTTACTATTAGCTTCTACTTATACTACTATCCCTCTTTGAAACCTATCTGCCTCTATATAGTATATAAGTACCTAAGGATACTTCTTAGAGTATAGTCTCCTTCTACGAACTTCCGCTCTATATTGTTAATATCCGCTATATAGTATATCTAGAACGTCCTCCCCCTAAGCTATAAGAAGAACTCCGTAATCTTATCCTTAGGCGGTATAAAGTCGATAGATACCTATAAGCTGTTGTTGTTAACCTATATAGGACTAGAAAGTAGCTCCTTATATAGAACAGCCCCTACTTACGAGCTAGTATAAGTATAAAGATAAATATATTAACTATTAGAACTTAATAATACCTACTAGCTTGCTTTTCTAGTACTAGTAGAGTATAGATTTATAGGCGGGTAATCTCTATCTGCCCTAACCTTGTATTTCTATAGCTTTAATATACCTACTTCGCTAGGGCCGTCGATAGTAAGCGTGTTTTCCCTAATACCCTTAGCCTATAGCCGTAGTACCTCGCTAATAATAAGAAGATAGTTCTTACGAATATCGAGGCTAGTATAGAAGTATAATTGTCTATACTACCTATAGGTACGAACCTTATAGTACTAGCGACGTTTAATTATCTAGCGGAAGTTACCGTTGTCTTCCTCTAGGAGCTCGCTATTACTATATTGTTTACTATTATTACTAGCATTACGGCGAGTAGTAGCCTCTAATCGTAGTCTATCCGTTCGATCCTATAACTGCTACTATATAGCCGTCTGCCTAGGTATCTATAAGGTATAGGGAGCTCTTCCGGGTATAGCTAGTAGAGTACCTTATAATAGGAGCGGCTTCGGAAACTACTTCTTAATTAGAGTAATAGTATAGAACTTACGTATTCTAAACGTCTTAAACTATTTATCTATTTGTCTAAGCGTATAGTAGATACTATTAACCTCCTCCCTTCGCTTTATAGTACTCGAGAGTATATCTCGAACTGCGAGTCCCTAGTAACTATATTCTATAGTAGTAAAACGTAAGTTAATCTAGAACTTCTCTATATAAATTATACTATCCTCCGCAACGTTACTAGCTCGCCTCTTAAACTACTAATCCGTAATATCTAGGATACTCTCGGTATTAGTAAATTAGAAGAAACTGACTTCTTTGTCTTGTTTATAACCTTCTCTATACTTCTAACTAGTATACGTATACTGCCGATATATAGACTACTTATACTAGCCTACTATAATGTCGATACGTACTTTAATAGTATAATTATAGCGTACTAGCTCTACCCGATACTTATCCTCTATAATGTCGTTTATTCTACCTATACGCAACGGTAGATCGGGATTAGGGCTTCGGGTACGGCGTTTACCCTTAGCGTAAGAGCGAGGTTAAACGGCTTTATCCTTATCTACTATATAGTCTATACCGATACTACTACCGGCTTCTATACGCTACTCTTCCCCTTCTTCTTGTTTACGGCGCCGCTAAGAGCTAGTACTAACTAATAGCGAGAGTTAAGAGATAGGACGATCTAAAAGGACGATTCGGAATAACTAAGTATATATAGTAGGCATCCGGATAACTAAGTACGCGTAAGTTATAGGTACCTATAGCGTAGCGTATAAGTTATAGCTCGGCGCGGAGTAACGTAGTTCCGGTTAACCTTACTTACTATATAGACTTTTCCTATAATACCTTACCTATAATACCGATAACACCGAATATCTTTACTATAGATATAGCTACCTAGCCTTTACAAAACTCGCTTAGAATTAGTCTACCGAACTCCTCTAAGTGTCGCTATAACTATACGACTAAGTACTAATATCTTCTTCTCGGGTAGGTAGGCGTCTTCTTCTTAGGTAGGTATCTTCTTTAGGTAGGCGTCTTCTTCTCGGACGGGCGTCTTCTTCTTAGGTAGGCATCTTCTTTAGGTAGGCGTTATAGGTAGGCGTCTTCTTCTCGGGCAGGCGTCTTCTTCTTAGATAGGCATCTTCTTCTCGGATAGGCGTCTCCTTCTTAGGTAGGCGTTTTCTTCTCGGATAGGCGTCTTCTTCTCGGATAGGCGTCTTCTTCTTCTCGGGCAGGCGTCTTCTTCTTAGGCGGGCGTTATAGATAGGTATCTTCTTCTCGGGCGGGCGTCTTCTTCTTAGGTAGGTATCTTCTTTAGGCAGGCGTTATAGGTAGGCGTCTTCTTCTCGGGCAGGCGTCTTCTTCTTAGATAGGTATCTTCTTCTCGGGTAGGCGTCTCCTTCTTAGGTAGGCGTTTTCTTCTCGGATAGGCGTCTTCTTCTCGGTCTCCTACTTCCTAGGCATCTTCTCGGGCGGGCGTCTTCTTCTTAGGTAGGCGTTATAGGTAGGCGTCTTCTTCTTAGGCAGGCGTCTTCTTCTTAGATAGGCGTCTTCTTTTCGGGTAGGCGTCTTCTTCTTAGGTAGGCGTCGTAGGTAGGCGTCTTCTTCTCGGGTAGGCGTCTTCTTCTCGGGTAGGCGTCTTCTTCTTAGGTAGGCGTCGTAGGTAGACGTCTTCTTCTCGGATAGGTATCTTCTTCTCGGGCAGGCGTCTTCTTCTTAGGTAGGTCCTACTTCCTAGGCATCTCTATCTCTATCTCTATCTCTAATCTCTAATCTCTATCTCTATCTCTATCTCTATCTCTATCTTCTATCTCTATCTCTATCTCTATCTCTATCTCTATCTCTATCTCTATCTCTATCTCTATCTCTATCTCTATCTCTATCTCTACCTCTATCTCTATCTCTATCTCTATCTCTATCTCTATCTCTATCTCTATTTCTATCTCTATCTCTATCTCTACCTCTACCTCTACCTCTACCTCTACCTTCTCCTCTACCTCTACCTCTACCTCTACCTCTACCTCTACCTCTACCTCTACCTCTACCTCTACCTCCTCCTCCTCCTCCTCCTCCTCCTCCTCCTCCTCCTCCTCCTCCTCCTCCTCCTCCTCCTCCTTCTTCTTCTTCTTAGGTAGGCGTCTTCTCGGGCAGACGTCTTCTTCTTAGGCGTCTTCTTTAAGTAGGTAATATTTAGCCGGAGCTAATATTAATCCGCGCCGAGGCTTAGTTATCCGGATGCCTACTACTTAGTTATTCCGAATCGTCCTTTTAGATCGTCCTATCCCTTAACTCTCGCTAACTAATATATCTAGTAGTTTATTATCCTTATTATTCTCTATACCTATACTAGACGAGATATACCCTCCGTCTATCTTATCGGTACTAGTACCTATACTAGTACTAATACTACTATTAACGCTTGCGCTAGTACTAATACTATTATTAACGCTAGCGCTAGTACTACTATTAATACTAGTACTAACGCTAGTATTATACTCCTCCTCGTTACCTATTACAAATAGTATATCGGTACTACTAGTAGTATCGCGCTTACTCTCCTTATCTATATCGTCTACTATCGATAGCCGCTACTTCTTCTACTCTTTAGCTTAGATAGGTTTCTTCTTCCTCTTCGCTTTCTCTACTCTTAAGACGGCCTCTAGAGTCTACCTCTACGAGATTATTATACTTTTGCTTTATAGTATATAGTTTCGATATCTACGAGGATATACGGGTTGCTCGCTAGCTATCGGTTTGTAGCTACTAGTTAGCGCGGTTTATACTTCTAGGAGCTATTATAAGATAGATAAAGAGATAGTTACTAACTTACTAGGCCTATACTAGTGCCTAACTTAGTAGTAAGACGGTTAGGTAATATCTCTACTCGTTATACTATAGAGACTACTTATAGTACAATAAAAGATAGTATATATAGATAAGGCTATACTTATTATATACTAGCGCGCTAGTATTAGCTATTTATACGAATGCGCGCTAATAGCGACAGCGATAGCAATACTACGAACAGCGATATAAAACTAGTAGTATATTAGAAGGTATGTTATAGAGCATAGTTTCCGGGTTTCTAGTACTAAATCGAGTATGTTTTAGGGATTCTATCTCTCGAAGGGAGGTTTGCGGTATAGTACGGTTATCTCGTTACCGCAATACTATATATACCTCGTACAAGGCGATAGTATCGATCTGTAGGCTATAAGAACGCTTGGCCGCCGACGTGCGTTAAGAAGGTACATTCTAGATTGCGTTGACGTTAAAAAGAAAAGAAAAAGAAATGGTCAAATTCTACAACCACATCCCCTCCGACCTACAAGAATGGGCCCTCAAACAATCCATCTTCTTCGTCGCCTCGGCCCCTTTGACAGGCAGCCACATCAACTGCTCCCCCAAAGGACGACCGTCGGCGACGCTGACGATTCTAAACGAGAATCTAGTCGGATACATGGATGCGAGTGGATCGGGCGTGGAAACCATCAGCCACGTGTACGAGAATGGTCGGGTCACACTCATGTTTTGTAGTTTTGACCGCTCACCACGAATCATGCGATGGTTTTGCAGAGGACGGGTGGTTGAGACGGGACATGCAGAGTATGCGATGTGGGTAAAGAGGATGGGGAAAGCGGAGTATCCTGGGATGAGAGTCGTTGTTATTTTGGATGTTCTCAAAGGTTGTATTTGTTGTTTCTTTTTTTCTTCTCCCGCTTGAATTGCACTCGATTGGATTGAATTGGGAAAACAGAAGCACTGATCGAGATGATCAACAGTACAAACTTCCTGTGGCTTCGCAGTGCCACTCCTCTCTGGCATTGTCGATTCTGACCAAGGTTCTCGGGCACGCTTCGAGGAGCGTAAGACATTGGACGGTTGGGCAGAGAAGACGATAACAGTGGCCGGTGGTATGGAGGATTACAGGGCCAAGATGAACACGAGAAGCCTAGATGGTTTGCCCGGCTTGCGGAGCGCCATGGAGAGGAATGGGGAAAATGCCAAGGTGCAAGAGATGCTATGGTGGTTCAGGCGGACGATCTCACAGTGGCAGCCAATGTTGTTGGGAGCCATTATGACTCTGGTGGCGGTAGCTTTGCTGCGGGTATTTGTGGTTGGTTCGAGCAGATGGACAGCCTTTTCAATAGTGTGAAGTGGACTGAAAGGCAAGTGAAAGGGGAAGAATGTGAAGAGAGAGGAATTGAAAAGAAGGGGTTAAGAAAGGAGAAGGTGAATGCGATAGGAGTGAAGCACGTGTTTTGTCATGTTCATATAACCGGTGCGACAATGGTTCCTTTACCAATAACCACATCCTCGGAGGCACTCCTCTCTCTCTCTCTCTCCAGAATGGCGTCAAGGACCGAGCGGACCACGAGGGAGCTCATCCAGACGCTTCCACAAGAACTCTTCGCCCTCATCTACGAAGAAGTCTTCGCCGCCACGCCAGCATCCATTTTCGTGCTCAAGCACGAAGTAAGACACCGCCGAATACTATTTCCCACTGCTCTCCATGTCGACCGAGCCTCTCGAGCCACTTACGCTCGTAGCTTCTTCGCAGTGACCCAATTCATTTTCCGTCGGCCAGAAGAAGGTCGCTCATGGCTCGCAGTTGTGGATACGCTTAAAACGAATTCCAGAGTTCTCGTGGAGCACGCTCGCGGTTGGGTCATCGAGTCCGCTCGCGATTGGGTCATCGAGCCCGCTCGCGATTGGGAATTCATCTGTTAGCTGACATGCCGCTTTCTCTGTAGAACACATGGGATCGGAGCATATCAGTCGATGCCGTGCCGTGCGTCAACATTCAGGCGGTGAGTGTGTATCGTGAAAAGGGGGAATCACCAATTGCATGAATAAAATGGACACATTTTGATCTGAATACTCAACAGACAATTGCAAGGAAGCTCTCCAGTGACAAGTGGCACCTGGGCAGCGATAACACGGAACCAAATGCTGAACACATCAGTACTGTAGATGCGAGGTGCCGAATGGAGATGGGAGCGCCGACGGAGAGAGTTTGTAGCAGAGAAGAGACTTCGAGAGCCATCCTTGAGTTCATACGTATCGTGCATGGTATTCTTCGATTTCCTTCTACAGATGTATGCAGCAGTCCCGCACCAGGAAATACCATTCCAGTCATCACACTGCCACCGGATTGGCTTCTTCGCCGTTCATCAGGGCCAATCGATCCTCTTCCTTCTTCTGGCGTGCGGCTTCCGTCTCTCTTCGCAGAGCTTCCAAGTTGAAGCCGCCATCATCATCATCATCGTCGTCGCCCTCATCGTCTGAATCACCCCTCCAGTCGCCCTTCTCAAACATCGCCCTACCCGTAGCTTCTTTCATCGTCTGTGCCTCCAGCTCCGCGGCCTTCTTGTCCAGACGTTCCTTCTTCCACTTCGCAAAGCTCTCGGGCGTGACAGGCGTCAGCTTACCCGTCAGTTGCAGCCTTTGACTTTCGAGGAAGTCCTCCAACGTCAAAGTTGCCAGCGGACTTTTGTCCATCAGCGCCTTCTCCGCGGCTCTCTGTTCCTTCGTCTTGAGCACGAAACCGGGCGGCAAAGAATGTTTGTACATGCACTTATCTCCTCCGTTCGGACAAGTCCAGAACCAACCGTATTTCTGATTCTCCACAGCTTCGATGAAGAATTTGCACACTTTGTCCGTTGTGGTCTTGGGATTTCCATGTTTTGACAAGACGACTTGTCGAAGCTTCTCTTCGTCCCAATCCTCCATGCCGTCCTTCTTCTTCGCGTCATCTCCCTCGCCGCCTTCTTCGCCTTCTCGTCGATCCGTGTAGAGGTCCATTTTGGCGGTCTTGCGCTCGACGTCCAAGTCGTGCGAGAATTTACACTTCTTTCCCTTTTCACAACCACCTTTCTTGAAGAATTGGCAGAGGATAGTCTTGGGGTCCACACCAAAGGGGACTTTTTGAATCGCGACCGGGGCAAAGAGAGCTGCGGCTTCCTTCTTGGCCTGTTCTTCTGCTTGCTTGTCCTTCTCGCGCTGCAGCCGTGCGGCTTCTTTCTTCTTGTCTTCGGGCGCAGACGAGACAGAGGCAGCCATTTGCTTGATCTGCTTCTTGGCTGCTCCACCCTTCTTATTTTTCATGCCGAAGGCCTTGTCCTCCACCGTTGGCTTCTTCTTCTTCGGCTCATCCTGCTTTCCTTTGGGAGGCATATTGGGCGGTAATATCAGGCGCGCCCAAGGCAGCTATAGTAGATAATGGTGATGTGTTCTTCGTCGCTCGGGTTCCGTCGAGGGAGTGGCAAGTGGGATAGGGTCGGATGGGGTCGAATGGAGTCGCGTGCGGCAGGTATCGTAGAGTGGGAGACGTCGCAGTTCAGACTACAGGCGAGGGAAAGCTCTCCATGTGTAAGTCTTTCCGTACGTCGGCCGCCACGGGTGCTCCTGAGACAGGAGATATATAGGGAGAAAAAGAGGCGAATGTGTTGAGGTCGGTAGGTGAATAATGTTGGTAGTAGAGTCAGAATCGAAGTTTCCAAGCTGATCAGAAGGAAGACCGGTGGCGTCACACTACAACGGCGCCAAGACTCGAAATGTCCCCTCTTTGACTTCACTTCCTGCTGGCCCTCCACACTTCATTTACCCCGAGCCACCATGACCACTTTCACCCTTCTTTTGCTGTTTCTTTTCTGCTTTGCTGTCTTTGTACTGGTCGCCTTCGCCTGCTCGTCCTGTCTCGGCAACGGACTGCGTAGAAGAGCAGACGGGAAGAGCACTTTGCCCACGACTTACGGCCTTCAATACGCTCAATCCATGGGACAAGGAGCGCACGGCGGCTACTCGGAGCACATTGAACTGGAAGATATGTTGGAACGGTGGAAGCAAACCCAGGAGGGTGACTGAGGTGGATCCCAGCATGATATTTCGCCAACGAGGTCTGATGAAATTACCTCTCTGACAGAAACTGATCTTGGTCTGCTCACGCGCTCCGAGCGTAGAGCCCATGGTCATCGTTCGTGTAGGAGCGACTACGGTCTCTCTTGGTCTCGTTGTGCAATCTGGCAATCCCTGGCATGATCTCTTGGCTGGAGACAGCAAGACGGAATAGGTTGCTCAAATCTGTGCCAATCGGGTTCATGGCAATCTTCATCGCGAAGACGCTGATGAGTATCGAGGATTTGCTTGGCAGCAGTTCGATGGGGATTTCTGTGCTGGTCCCTAAAGGGCGGCGCAAAAGTCAAGGAGAGTCAAGCGTCATCCATCTCTTTAGCAACTCCTCAGCGGGTTGCCCTTGATATGAGAGTCTGCAGCTGAAGCTTAGAGGACTGCAGAGTAGTGCAGCCTGGAAAGTCGTTCCTCACCTCACCAGTCTTCTCAGTGGAACACGCAAGGTCGAGCGCGTGCTTTGCCCGAGCGTTCGAGATGATACGGCATCGTAACGTTCGCGCAGCTGCGTGCGACGCCTGTTGGTCAGGGTACATCATTGGCTTGACATGTAATGTACGAAGCGATGATCCAATCGATGCCTCTAAGATCTTGATTCGGTCTTTTTTCGTCGAGTCTCTTGATGCATCCTCCATCGTTCTCGACGAAGACGAGGGCGACGGTCATCTACGGAACATGTTAAGCTATATCAGTATTGACACTGAGCACGAACAAGCACAGAGTTCGCGACTGCCTTTTCATCTGAAATCGAGATGAATGAGGGCATTCACCCGTGTTGAAGTCATAGCCCGATATGTCGCCAGGGGCGGGAGTGCATGCCGTGTTTACGTGGCGAGCCGCAAGTGGAGTCTGTGATGGTGGCGATTCGCGGCGTTGACGAGCGGTGACTCTGCTCCGGCAGAGACGAACAAGGAGACAACTATGCTTCAGAAGCGGTCCATCCGATAGCAAATGGACATTTTCACGCAGGTCAATGAAAACCACGTTCTAATGATTGTAGCACATGCCCTAGAGCTCGTCATTCAGAACGAAGGCAAGACGAATAGTGTGTCCCACTTCGTTACATCGCCACGTGCGCTGGTTTCACTTTATATTACTCTGTGCTTTAGTCTTGCTCTATCTTCAGAACTTTGGAGAGGAGCAGCCTCGCTACTACAAGCGTTAATTGACCACACCCGCAAGCCGCTTGACTATTGCCCTGTGGAAAAGACCAAGCTTCTCGAAAGCTCAAGCTGACATCCTCCAGCCAGAAATGGCAACCAGGGCGCCGACATCGCCGTCGACATGGAAATGGATAATCAGGAGGCAGCGGCTGGCGCGCGGCTAGAAGAGGTATGGATGCTGCTCGGCATGGATGCATTTGCCTGGAAGCCGATCAAGAAATCAAGTCGGGGTGAAGGTGATTACCTCTGATCTTGTATTCCCCTGACGATAGATGACAGAAGCATCGTTCTCGCCAAGACGCACGCTCTTCCAAATCTCCTGGCTGGGCTCATAAGGTCGATTGCCTGGACGTTTCACTTCGTTGTAACGCTTCTCCCTCGTCTCGTCCGTGGTTTACGGCGTTCCCCAACACCCACACATGCGACAACTTCCGATGGGCAGATGAGAGCCAGGATATCGTGTTTTCTTTGCCGAGCTCGTGTCCGCCTGACGCCTTCATGTTGTTGCGCGTTCTTGGATAAGCAGTGACTGCGTTTCATGTTTGCGAGACACGCAGGTGTTCGAACAGTTTCGAAGCAGGAACTCTATCGATATCTTTGATGCCTGTGCAAGGTGCTGTGGATAGTCTCTCTTCGTATAGCAGCATAAAAATCCAGAGCAGTGAGAGAATAGCCACTCGGTGTCATCGGTGAAGGCAATTGTCCTGCCTGCTAACGCTCCTACTACATGCTCAACGAAGTCCGACGCATCACTTGCGCGTGGACAAGCTGCTACGCCAGAAGCGGTTTCAATGGTCTGTCAGTGGCGATGAAGGACCTTACTCATCAGAATAGAGTAGGAAAGTATCTCAAGGGTTGAGCCGGAGTTGAAGCTGCGGATGCCAATGGGTGAAGTCTCCATTAACAGCTACACACTCTGCGAAACGAGCATATACGTGCTTTGACTCCCCTTCCCGCCTACAGTCCAGCATCCCTTGCGTATATTCGACCCAACAAGCACTACTGGCTTCCCCCGAGACGCAAAAAGTATCGCCCAACGCTTGGTTTTCAGTCATCCAGCCTGGCCCCCAGCCCTCGCATTGAGGCGCTCGCTCCATCAAACCCGCGCCGTACGTTCCAATAAATTCACTCAACAACAAGCACAATAATGCGCAGCTACTCATACTCCCACCTTCGTATACAAGTTCGCTGGTCAAGCTAGTATTCGAGAAGCCACCTCACTCAATATAGCTGGAAAATATCAGATAACATAGTCAGATTGAGCTTTGCTTGGACCCTCCCTGCACCGGGAAGTTTCCTGTCCCACGACACATTGTCACAATAGCCTTCTCAAGTGGGATATCGATAGAGTGGACACAGCCGCTGTGCAGTGTGTAGAAGATGAGATTGCTATGGTACTCCAGAACATCCAAGCCGCTGTGCAGTGTGTAGAAGATGAGATTGCTATGGTGCTCCATCTCTGGATGTTCTAGAGGTCGACTTAAGCATATGTCTGGCGTGCCTGTTACGGAGTGCGGAGCAGTTGCAGTGCAGTTAGAGTTCCACCAATACTATAGTCGTGCTACTAGGTGGCCAACAAGAGCCGAGTTCACAAGTCTTCAAGTCATACTCAAATTGCTGCTCATGCAATTGTTGGCACAGGGCGCGCGAGAGGGTGGACAGAAAGGTGTCACAGCAAGTTCATGGAGCCTAATGCGGTTGCAGGGAGGAAGATACACAGCGCTACAGGCACCGTGAGTTGGGAGCCGTTTCTCTCGGCGGGGCAACGACTTCATCACGTAGGTAGTTAACCCGATCACTTCACCAACCCAGCCGTCTCATCCTCTTCACTTTCGGTCTCATACTCACTACTGCCCTCCTCGGACCCGGTCTCCTCCTCCTCTTCTGTCTCCTCGTCTGTCTCATCTTCCTCGCTACTTTCCTCGTCCTCCTCCTCATCAAGCCAAGCATCCAATGTCTTCTCCTTCCTCACCGGTCCATTCCTCTTATACCCCGGGTCCGCAGTAGCCAAGCCGTCATCCAGCTTCTGTGCAGCCGTCAGTTCCCTCTCAGGCACATAAACTCCCTTCTGTGCCCGATCTCCGTCATCTCGCAGTTTCGGGTCAGGTTCGTGACCATCCTCGACCCAATCTGGCAGAGATGCGTAGCCTCGCATCCCACTGGTGCCGACCTCGCTGCCAATGACTAGGGAAGCAGAGCCAAGAAGTAGGCCCTTGCGACTTTCGCTCGGTGAAGGGGCTTGTGGGACTGGCTTTGGTGCGAGTAAGAGTAGGGATGCGAGTTCCGTGCTACTTTGTATAGCGAGAAGGGAGCGGAAAAGACGAGCGCGGTCTCGTAGCGAGTACGAAGGTGTGTAGCGTGCTAGGAGCATCGTATATTGGAAAAGTAGTTCGATGGGGTGTTGGGTATCTCGTGGTCGTTCTTCTTCGTTCTCCGGAGGTTGACTGGAGAATGCATCCTCACGAAAGCCATCATGTTCTTCTTCTGTGGGCGATAGTACGGTGCTGGTCGTAGCGTGATTCTGTTTGGGCTGTTCTAAATTGAGAGCATCGAGTGCTCTTTGCTTCTCGTTCTTGGCGTTCAAATAATGGAGATATACCTTGGCCGCTAGTAGTATCGTCTGGGCGCGCACTTCATCGCTCTCCTCGGCATAGTTCTTGACAAGAATGCGCAGAACGTCGGCAGCGATATTGTTCTCCGCATCGACGCCAGCAAACTCGCCAATCAGCCAGACAATGCTCGCCCGTGCCGATGGAGAGGTTAGCGAATCGAGGTTCTTGGCCAGTCGGATCACAGTCTTTCGATGTTCGTCTGGAGCTCGCTGTATCAGATGCCGTATAACCTCCATCGCTTCAGCAACCAGATTTGTATCTGAACTGCGAATTTGTTTGAGCAGAAGGGACAGGCATCGGCGCGAAGTTTTGTCGCTAGACGCTTGAGCACAGCGCCCGATAGCACGCACACTCTCGCGCACAAGGCTCGCATTGTGAGCTTGAGAAAAGTGTTCCAGTTCAGCAAGTATCAGTTCCTGTATCTCCTTGCCACTGTGTGGAAAGATCAGGGTCAGAATTTCCAGCTTCAGTGTCCATATTTGAGGTGCTTCCGTAGATCGAACCAGGAAGTGGCGGAAATGCGAAACGAAGTGAGCGGGATGTATGAGGCAGACCTGTACTATGTTGTATAGCGCCACCTGTCGAATGTCCTGAGGGGAGCGAAGGAGTGCTATGAGCGGACCGACGGCTTGAGGCAGGTGCTTCGAGGGAGACAGGTAGAGATAGGCTCGCGTCACAGCTAGAATGACTGCGGAGTTGCGACTCGAAAGGAGAGGCTGCACTGATTTGAGGAAGAGTTCGAGATCTGGATCCACGTATTCGACCTCCTCGTAGTCATCCTCCTTGGTCTCCTCTTGCGGTTCCAGGTCGTCGTAGAAGCCCTTCGCTCGCAGTTCCTGATTGACCGCTCGCAGTTCCTGATTGACCGCTCGCTTGACTCGTGCTATCCGTCTGGGAAAGCATTGGCGTGAGTAGGTGGTGAAGAGGCGTATGACGGCAAGTTGGCCCCACTCGTCCATATCGACAATCATCTTGCACAGCCTACGATACACAGGATGTATCAGGTCGATTCGGTGGGGACATATGTCCACAAAGGCCTGCACTGCGGCTCCAGCGACATAATACTGCTGATCGGCCAGCAGGGTGGCTACGTACTCCTCTACCTGAGGTCTTGTGCTGGCGTCGAGCTGGACGCACTTCACGCATGCCAGAGCAGCTGCCTTGCGGACCAACGGCGACAGGTCGTTGACGCCCTTTTTGACGGCCAGACTGATGATCTGTGCAATCATGGGAATCCTGATGCCTGACATGGTTTTCAACGCCATGGCTCTGACTCGCGGATTCGTGTCGGACAGGGACTTCTGGATGGTGTTGATTGCCAGCAAGGCCGTGTCCGGATCGGCCTCGGCATGGTGGATCAAATAGTTGTAGACCAAGGGACGGGTCGAGGGATACGGGTTGGAGAGAGTCTTGAGGACAGCAGGAAAGAAAGGGAGAGTCGGGTGGGGAGGATTGGCATATTGCATCTACATTGGCGTATCAACGTTGGGGGAGTTCCCACGAGCGGTATAGCATATATCCATGTCGACATGGAGTATGTACGTGGGAGGCATACCGCAACCACTCTCCGCAGACCATCCAAAACCTCTCGCTCATGCCTGCTGTCCAACAATTTCTTGATGTGCGCCGCCGGCAGTGCCTTGGCTGTCCTGCGCGGGCCGGCATCGCGAGCCGCTTCGAGGGTGAGATCGCGTGCTGTTGCCGTGAGCGGAGAGGTTAGCTTGCTGGTGATGGTGGCGGTGGTGGTAGAGGACGACGACGAGGTGGAGGCGGAGGTGGTGGTGGTGGTGGTGTTGGCCAGTTCCCAGCGAATGTTCTCCATGTGGGAGAGGGTGTGGGTGAGGGTGTGGGTGTGGGAGAGGGAGGGAGTGAGGCAGTGGGTGATGAGGGTGAGAAAAGGGCATAGGTAGTACTGACCGTGTTCGAGCAGCGAGCTGATCTTGCTGATTGATTCCATCGTCACTCGTGGCACCTGCCTTCTCCCGTCGTTGGGCAAGTACGACTTCCGGCGTAGTAGGAGGTAAGGTACATGTAGGTAGCTACAGCATGACCCGCGACCATGGGAGGTGGAGTGGACGGGCCGAACGGCACGCTGCGGCACGCTACCGTCTTCCGGCCCGGTCAATGCCATCACCATAGGTATTCTTCTTCTCGCTCGGGAACATCGTGGATTGACACCGACTGCATCATGGCGTGATCGTAATGCACAGGCTGTTGTCGCGCGCTGCACAGGTCAGAAGCAGAAGCAGCAAAAGAAGCAGAAGCTCTTGTCATTGTGCGCCATGTCTGCCAACACTGCCCGGAACGGTGGCTCGCGGCCACGGGGCTGGTGTGCTGCGACCACCATACCGGACCAGGTCGACGCCGCGGTTCACGAGCATCTTCGCCACCGCCGCCACCACCGCTACCACCTATGATGCACGTATCAGAGGGCAGAGACGACAGCAATGGAACCAGGCCATGGATGGGGTCAAGCAAGAGCTGGGACGGGGCGACGCCGCAGCAGATGGTGATGATAATGCTACTCCCGTTGAAATATACGATGATTTCAATGCCGACGTGGAACGGAATCTGGACAGCAGCCTCTATCGGCTCTTTCGCCCCGCGTGGCCATCAAACACTGGACCTGCGCTCAATAGATACCATCTGCCTCCGCAGTCGATATATGCCCGGGACTTGTCGAAAATGAAGGCCGAAACCACGCGCTGGACTCAGAAGAAGATTTTGAGAGTAGAGCTGTGCATGGACATTCTGCAGCTGCAGTGCTTTCAATGGCTTCATTCCATCGGATTCCTCGGCAATGAATCTGCCTTGTCCTCGTTGCCACCCTCGTACGTCAATACCATCGTACAGCACCCTGCACACGTTTGCAAACGCTCGTTGCTGCAAAAAAAGGCCGACTATATTCACTTGATGCGAACTCCATCGGACGAGTCCGGGGGGATTGCCTTTCAGAGATCTCCGGAGGATGTACCGATATGCAAGTACACTCAAGATGAGTTGGGCGCATTCCGATCTGAACAGCTTGAGCTTCGACGAAGGCTTGAGCAGCTGTTCGCCGCCAAATACCAGGCCGATCAGGAACCGCAGCTGATCTGTAACGCATTTCATCTACTGGCAGCCTCATCCGCGCCTCCAAACGTGGACATTTACAATACTCTCATGAACGGTTTACGCAAGAGGGGCCATGTCTTTCTTACCACGGCTACCATTCAAACCTTCTTCGGCAGTAAAATGCGCGCTAATGAAGTCAGCCTCGCAGTCATGCTCGGCTTCTACACGGATACGAACAACGCTGAACAGTTTCGCATGTTGATCCAAAAGATGCGCGGACAGTCCGGCGGCTTGATGAAGTCCAAACCCGGAAACTGGCGATTCAAAGCGAGCAAGGGCAGGATTATACCTGATCCGCGGAACCCAAGCATTCTTATACAGCTGCCTCATCCAACGCCAATGGTCTTTGATGCCGTAGTCAAGGGTGTACTTCACTTCAGTGGTTTCGATGCCGCGTTGGGCATGTGTCGCAATCTCCGCGACGAAGGCTGGGGTATGGATATGCGAGGATTTGGCATCTTACTCAATGACTGCGCCCGTCGTGGTGATTGGAACGTTGGATACCCGGTCTGGAACCAGATTGTAAAGCTCAAGCAGAGAAGTGCCAGGCTCGTCGATGGGCACTTGCAAACTGAGATCATCATGACACCGATTTTCGCGGATATGCTCCGCCTCTGTAGACGCTGCGATAAAAAGCACGAGTTTGGAGATGTCTGGGATTTAGCAAAGAAGACGCATCCGATCACGATCAATCGCATTATGGAGATGGTGAAGGCCGAACGAAGTGCGCGCACCGATACTAGGCCCCCGGAGCTCGCTGAATCTCTAACGCAAAGCGAGCCTCGCGGCGGCGAAAGCACACGTGCAGCATTGGCCGCTGAAGATAGTGCAGAGGCTCGTGTACAAGCGTTGCAGGCGCTCGCAGAACTCCGTGCGAAAGGGGCAAATACCGTTGGCGAATCCAATCTACAGCAGGAGTATCTAGCCTTGAAGGCTGATGTGGATTTTCTCAGGACAATGGAGGGAGGAAACGGTGCCGAGCAGTCAAAGACCCGTTCTTGGGCCGAGCTTGCGAGGGATGCCTACAATCTCATTGCCTCTCACCCGACCACTCTCGAAAGGCGCACCTTTGGCCAGAGCAATGCGCAGTCCAGGCTTGCTGATGACGTCGGGCGGCCTGTCACGTACTCTGAGCTCGCAAAGAACGCATATTATCTGGTCGCCGATCACCCAAGCACCATGGAGAAACGTGGTGGGGACGAGTCATCGAAGTTTATCGATAATGTGGATTTGGATATCTCCCAGGGAGAAATCCCTGGCCTCGAAGCTGACTCCGAACATGCCAATTCACGGGGAGACAGCGCACGACCGCTAGTCAAGTCCGATGAGGGCCCGACCACGCCTGTGACTTACACTTCCCTGGCGCAAAGCGCTTATCGACTGATTGCAGACCCCGCCACCTCACTGCAGCGGAGGGGGCATCAGAATCCAAAATCAGGTCATATCCCTGACGGTGATACTGATGCTCATTCCACGTCGAGCCTACACGGTCACGACGATACGAGCACACCGGGGCCTGCGGAGTCTGCGTCGTTCAATGATGATCAAGAGCCTCCCAGTGTCAGGAAGAGAGAGAGGGATTGATCAAATGATTTTCGGTCGTAGAAACGTTGTAGATGAGACAGATAGAGTGCGAATGATACCCCCCAGGAATAGGCAATGAGACATCTACACTCACACATGAGGTTTATCCCATCATTCCTGCTCGGCGTGTCTTCTGAACTACATCCCACTACTGAAAGCCCCGATGTTTTGTTTACAACCCGTGAATTCAAACTGACAAATGAGCAGTACATTTTACCCACCCATTCCGTTAGGCTAATAACATTTCAACCATCACCAACACCACCAACTTCCTACAACTTCGCCCTCTCCCTCAACCCCTCCTCCGCAAGTCTCACAGCCACCTCAGCAGTCCCATACGAAGTCTGATATCCATAACCCCCATGACCATAATTATGCACCACCACGACCCCGCCATCAATCACTTCCCTCTCCAACCTAATCCCCCCAGTCCTCATCGGTCTCAACCCGACCCCATGACGAACAACACTCAATCCCTCGGGACCCTGTCCCGGGCCGACCAAACCCGGACACAACTCAACAGCACGCTTCATAATCCTCGAAGCCAGATTCGGATCCGGTTGAGATTCCCACTGATGAGCTTGCAGACATCCCCCCAACACGGTACCTCCACCCGCGGCGCGTTCCATAATATATACCGCTTCGTCTTCGCCGTCGTCTGTGCCCGAGGTCGATGCCATGGTATTATTTCCGGGAGAATTTCGTACGAGCACGATTTGGCCTCGGGCGGGATAGAGGAGGGAGTCGCGGACGCCGCCGAGGGTGAGGGATGAGAGGCCTGTGGCGTTGATGATGAGGTCTGCGCCGCGCTGGGGCTGGAGGTGGTGGAGATGGGTGGCGTGGGAAATGTGGGAGAGAATGTAGCGGCGGAAGGTGGCGCCGTGGGAGAGGAGCTGGGAGACGAGGTAGGGGAGGTAGATGGCTGTGTTGATGCAGATGGAGGTGAAGGTTGTTCCGCCGTCCATTCCTGGTGGGAGGGAAGATGGGGGAAGGGGTTTGAACTTTTTTTGGATAATCAGCATGGACAGGTAAGTTTTGTCGTGAGAGCGAGTGAGTGAGTAAGGGAGTGATGGTGTGATTTAGGTGTACGAATGGGGGAGGAAAAAAAAGAGACAAGACTGACGTTGGGAAGGGTATCCTTAAACCAAGCATCTTCTCGAATGAGTTCTTTGAACCAATCTGCCACTGGTGATCCGGCGTCTTTGGCTCTACGATATACGTATGTGTCTGGTAAGAGAACGATAGTATGAGCAAGACTTCAATGCATGAATGGAATACGAGAGAGTCCGAGTGATAGCACTCGCCTTGAAAATGAATTCCCGCTTCAGGCACATCTCGTGCCAGACGTTGCAGCTCAGGCCAGGTATTCTTCTCCCATGACTGGAATTCCGTTCCTGGCTTGCTGACTCTGCGCGAACAACATCAGCGTCAGTCCATCTGATGTCTATCCCTCTCATGCAACATCAATACACCAGCACCCAATACATTCAATCTTCTATACGAAAAAACGGGTTGGAGTATTGGTCGGGTGTATTTACGGCAAATAGTTTGCTCCCGCCCAGGGCGAGGCGTATTCAATATCATAGTCTCCAGGCATGTGTTTTGCCACTACAGTGATCTTGTGTCCATTCTTGGCAAGAAGAAGTGCAGTCGTCAGACCAGAAACGCCGGCACTGGGAAGATGTGTTAGAAGAATGATTCGATTCGAGGGTAATCAACGTGGAATTTCGTTTTTGTTCGGTGACGCTGTACCCTACTACGACGATGTTCGCCATATCCGCCTGATTGGAATTGGGGATTTGATGGTATTGTCGACAATTTTGAGCTCAATGCAGAGTGAGTGAATAAATACAGTGAGTGGGGTGCATCTCTTTTATAGTACAGTCACGTCCGCCCTACGCCTTGGCAAGTTGGCCGCCGAAGACCGGCGATAGGCCTACGGTGAAGTAACTTACACGGCCTCTCTTACACAAGTCACAACATCCAACCCACGTCCATCTACAATACTACAGGTATCCCCAATTCTCCCTCGCTCTCTCCTCCTCCTCCTCCTCCTCCTCCTCCTCCTCCTCCAAGAACAAAACCACCCCCATCCTTCCACGTCCACAAATGGCAGATATAGAAGACTACCCTCCCTCCGCCTCGGTATATTTCACCAAATCCAACACCAAAACCACCTGGCATGCCAAAGACAATCTCACCATTCTCCAACTGGCCGAACAAGCAGGTCTTCACCCGCAGTTTGGATGTCGCAGTGCCATTTGCGGTTCGTGTGAAGTGAAAATCACAAAGGGACAGGTTTATGGTCCGGAAGGTGATAGACCTCAGGGTATCTTTATTTGTCAGAGTCGGCCGGCGACGAGGGAAATTGAGATTGAACTTTGATGATGATGATGATGTGGCGAAGAAGAAGAGGAAGTTTAGGGTTATTCTTCTCGGTACTGGGAGTGAGGGATTATGGGATTTGTACGGATTTGTGATTGTTGGGAATGGAATGGGGAGCTGCATGCCTGTGTTTGAAGATACATGTGTACGGGAATGGGAGAGAAGGTCGTCGCCACCACGAGATCTCCAAATAGCTGAGCAGTACTATTTGGATGCGAGAAAAGATAGTGTGCTGCTCTTCTTTACAAAAGTAGAATCAATAGTACGACGTGTTCGGTGCAGCAGGGCATCTACTCCTCCCCATCTCGACAGACAGCGTTACTGAAGAGGCAGAAGTAAGTAAAGCCGAACCAAAAAGGATAAAAGAATAAAAGAAATTTCCATTACACCCTGCGAGACTGCGGAGTTGTTAGCGAGTGCATCTCATATATAAGAATGAGAGAAGTAAAGAACTTACTTCGAACTCGCGACTTTCGCATTTCTGGCATATAGGTCCCGAGGGACAAATATAAGAACGACACGCTAAGCCACTGCGTCAAGGGTGTTACTCCAAGCTAAGCTGGACCTTTCGTATCGAAGGCGGGAGTATCCGTTGTTATTTATATAGTCTTGAATTGCTACCTTGCATACTGGCAGGTCGGGTGACGATGCGGGAGATGGTCTTGTAGCAGCGCAGAACAAAAATGTGTGCGAGTGCAGCTCCGTAGGAAGACGACGTGCAACTGGCTGGACCGTCGCTGCTTTCCTTTGGGTGTCGTCGACGGGGCTTATATTGGGTGATCAAAAGTCCGTCCAAGTGCCCGCGAGCATATTTCCTACAGACCGAGTTCCAAACCCGATCAGCATGGAAAATGAATAGCTCCATCGACAAAGAATAATCAGTCTTGCAAAATATGCACCAGGGAAGGATTTCAAAGCCAGCCAGTCCAGCATCTTATTCAAAAAAGAATTGCCTCCTTTTTTTTTTCTTTTAATAAAAACACGCCATGCCACGCTAACTTAGTTTCCTCCGGAGTTCGGACCGGCAATCTCCCCTATACAGTCGGGTACAACATTAACAAAAGTTGTCCTCGCATACCACATCCATCATCATGACAAAAAAGGCAAAGATGAACATCCTCCGCTTCGCTCAAGATCTCGCATGTAATCCCAAGCATACACGATGGATAGTGCCTCTTCAAATCCTCGGCGAGGCGGTACTGTGCAGTCTGATTATTTGGCGAGTTCCGTGTACGTGGTCGATTTGTTATTTCGTCTATACCCTTACCCTTATGCATGCACATTGGCAACATACATCACATACATTATATCACTCACCCACTCTCACCCCTCACTACACACGTCCCCAAAAAAAAACATTTTCCTTTCAAAAAAAAATGAACAATAACCCATAATACTACCCAACTACTAACCCCCACCCCCTCCCAGACACCGAAATCGACTGGACAACCTACATGCAACAAATCTCCCTCTACCTCTCCGGCCAACGCAACTACACTCTTCTCACAGGCTCGACAGGACCTCTCGTCTACCCCGCCGCACACGTCCACATTTACCATTTCCTCTACAAGCTCACCTCGCAGGGGTCAAATATTTTATTAGCCCAATTTCTCTTCCTCATTCTCTATCTCTGCACCCTTTGGCTGGTCATCTCATGTTATCGAACAGGTGCTACCACGACGACGGCTGCTGGTTGTCCTCCTTGGTTGTTGGTGTTGTTGAGTGGAAGTAAGAGGGTACATAGTATTTTTGTGTTGCGCATGTTTAATGATGGAGTTGCGGTTTTGTGGTTTTGGGGGGCTGTGTGGTGTTTTCAGAGGAGGAGGTGGAGGAGATTGGGGAGTGTGGTGTTTGCGGTTGGAGTAGGGGTGAAAATGAGTGTGTTGTTGGCTTTGCCGGCTGTGGGGATGGTGTTGTGGTGGGGAATGGGGAGGAATGGGGCGTTGTGGGAGGGGGTTGTTATGGGTCAGGTTCAGGTGAGTTACAGAGAGAGAGGAACTATTTCTTTTGCTTTCCTTTTTTTTTTGTCCAGGGCTAACTGGAAGAACTAACAGACGATTCTTGCGTACCCGTTCATTATGAAGGATTCCAAAAGCTACATCACCAGGGCGTTTGAATTCACACGACAGTTCATGTTCAAGTGGACGGTGAATTGGAGGTTTGTGGGCGAGGAGACATTCTTGTCCCGGTCCTTTTCGTACTGCTTACTCGGAGCACATGTGGCTTTGCTCGCACTTTTTGGATGCACTCGATGGCTGGAGCCGTCGGGACTGTCCCCCCTTCAAGCCATCAACCACCTCCTTCATCCACCTCCCCAGGCACAGCAAGACCGCATTGCGCGACGAGTCACGCCCGACTTTGTGCTCACGACGATGCTTTCGGCAATGCTGATTGGCTGCTTGTGCGCCAGGAGCCTCCACTACCAGTTCTTCGTGTACATTGCATGGTCGACGCCCTATTTGCTCTGGAGGAGTGGTATGCACCCGGTCCTCATCTATGGCCTGTGTATGGCGCAGGAATGGGCGTGGAATGTGTATCCTAGCACTGACGCGAGCTCCATGGTGGTCGTAGGGTGTCTGGCTGTGACAGTGGGCAGCATATGGGTCGGGACCAGACCTCAGCCCGCAAAGCAGCAGCAGAAGCAGCAGCGACAGGGAGGTAGGCACTTGCATCGAGAGTAGCTTGCAGCTATACACAAAATGACTCAGTCTTCATCTTCGGAATCAGATGGCGGCATCTGGGGTCCTTGATCGTCTTCATCATCAGAATCTTCTGCATAACTCGACTGCTTCGCAGCAAACTCCTTGGGCCAATACGGCATCTTCCGCCACGCCTTCTCGTCGCCAACAATGTTGACAATGATGCCAGCCAGCTTATTGCCGCGCTCGGCCAGAGCTTCCGTGTCCAACAAGACGTAGCCTCCGCGTTTCATCCAGATGGTGGAGCGGAATTTGGCATCGAGTTCGGCCAAAAGTGCCTCACCCGAGGGCAATTCCAGGTGGTACAAGTGATTGCCAGCAGCAATTTTGACGCGCGCGATTTTTTGATTGGCAGCCAGCGATGCAGGCGGAGTCCATGTTTCTTCGGCCACGATTTGGATGTTGCGTTTGGGCTTTGGCATTGTTGGTGGGGGGTTTCTTCACAACGAACTTGCGTATGTACCTATAGGTTGTAGGCTGTAGGCTGTCGGCTGTAGGTAACCAATGGATGGGGATGCTCGAGCGGGCTATGGCGGTGAAAGTATAATACTGGTAACTGGTAACTGGACAGTGGAAAGTCGGTATTTTTTATTGATTTTCGGAGGTCATGCACCCCACGCCGGCAGTGCGCTAGCCTCTTCGATGCAAGTGAGATATTATTCATGCAAGATTGCAGGTCACATTGTGCAACCTTCACGTGTCGCTGGTGCACCTTCTTCCACCCTTTGGTTACTTGGTACTCTGCACGAGAACTTTATTATATACGGGCCTCCTAGGAGGTAAGGTAGGTGAGAGAGGGACAGAGCGGGAGGGAGGGAGACAGAGAGATAAGCGGGTGCTCCAGCTACCAGCCAAGATATCTCCTACCACACCACCATCCCTATACCTCCATAGTACAAGTCAGACATATACCTTCAACTCTCGTTTGCTGCATATTGATTGCCTTCAGCCAGCCGTTGAAACGTTGTTGGGTCGACGGGCATTTGTTATTGTTCTAGTGTGCCCTGGTCCATGAGATCGATGGGATTCTTCCTGCCCTGTCCGAGACTCCTGCTCGATTGGCCCAAACAACCTGTCTTACCTGCCTAAGCTACCATATCATTGGTGCTCTTCCGCAGCCGACATGTTGCGCTTGTTCCGGAGCATCAGCAGAGGACGGGCCAAGGACGACCGACGCAAGAACGAGCCGTGGTATGCTGCTGAGTCGCCCGATGCGAGATACCACCGCCTGCCCCGACAACACAACGACGCCGACGACTTCGACGACGACGACGCCGCCGCCGATGCCTCCCTGTCTCCGCGACTGCACCGACGCCGCAACCCCGACGGCGACTATTTCGATCGACACGATGGCGACGGCGACGACGACCATGACCATGACTACGACGATATGGAAGAGGAGGCCGAAGCAGAGGAGGACGACGAGGATGCACACAATGAAGATGCCGTCGAAACGCCACTGTTACCCATCTTCTCGGCGCCGCATCTCGACAGCCTGCCACTGTACAACATTACCCACGCGATTCGCTTGTTGATCGTGCAGAGGTGCGAGACGACGCTGTCATGGGACCAACTGCGCAGTCCCCAGGTCAGCCAGTTTCTGGTGAAGCCGGTGCAGAGTCAGATCCGAGCAGACCACTTCAATCGGGCCACCCTGTGTGCTCTCTTAGCCAACTGCCTGCAGTTCCAAAAGGAAGGCCAAATGACGCCGGGCAACATGGGAGTGTGTCGGACACGAGCCATGACCAGCGAACTGCTCGCTATGCGGCTGTTGAGGGAGTTTTCCACCCGCGAGCTGATTGATTCCTTGTCATATGACTTTGACCTCCTCCAAGGTATGGATGCTTCCACTGCTGCCCCAGTGCGAAGACCGCAAGGCAGATTTGCCCGCGTGAGTACCATTGAGATTGCCATTCGTGGTGAGGCCAAACGCTTTCTCGCCCATCCTTTGGTCGTGCAGCATCTCGAGGCTATTTGGGCCGGCAATATTGTGTTCCATGCAGAGGCAGACAACCTGCACCGCAAACACCGTCAATCCGATGTGCACAAGCGAGCGCGTCCGGTGGGCTATGGCACCACTCATGCTCCATCAGGATCACCCGCAGATGCTCTTCTGTCGAGAAAGACCCATCCGAGTGAGCAGACACGAGCGCCGTCAGAGACGCCGATTGCCAGGAGAACGGTCACCCTGTACAATCCGAGAGAAGCTTCCGTTTTCAAGCTCAGTCGTTTGCGAGTACCACGATACCGGCAAATATTCAGTACGCTCAGCTTCGCTACCATGCTCACGCTCTTCATCCTCGTACTAGTGGATCGAAGCATTTTCATCACGCCCTTGGAGGTGCTCTTTTGGTTCTGGAGCATCGGATATATGCTCGACGAAATTGTGGGCTTTTCCGAACAAGGCTTTGGACTGTACATCTTGAGCTTTTGGAATGCATTTGATCTAGGCATTCTGTTTCTCTTTGGTGTCTACTACGTCCTGCGACTGTATTCCATCGTGCTCGCAGACTCTGGCAAGCAGAGGATCGCAGGCGTCGCGTACGATGTGTTGGCGAGTACCGCCATTCTGCTGTTTCCTCGCCTGTTTAGCGTCCTCGACCACTACCGTTACTTCTCACAGCTGCTCATTGCATTCCGCATGATGGTACAGGATCTTATTGCGGTCTTGATTCTGATTGTCATCTGCTGTTCGGGCTTCTTCGTGGCTCTCTCTCTATCCTTTGCAGAGGATGGCACCAAAGCCGGTGATGTGGTCTACTCCCTATTTCAGATTCTGATGGGTTTCACGCCCACCGTCTGGGACCATTGGGTCAACTACAACCTTCTCGGCAAGGCCATCATGGCCATCTTTTTGACCATCTGTCACTTCTTGATCGTCACCATTCTGATCACGGTACTCACCAACAGCTTCATGGCCATTGTGAAGAATGCCGAAGAAGAGCATCAATTCTTGTTCGCGGTCAACACCATCTCGATGGTGAAGTCCGATGCTCTCTTCAGTTACATCCCTCCCACCAATGTCATTGGCTGGTCGCTGAGTCCTCTGCGCTACTTGATGCCACTGCGACAGTATGTCAAGTCCAACCGGACCATAATCAAAGTCACACACTTTCCGATCCTCCTCTTGATCTTCTTCTATGAACGCATCTTCATGACCCGAAATGGATATGCTCCGGTCGAGCTGATCGAACGACGCGAGACGGATCGGAGGAAGCCCGCCGCGTTCAGCGCGAAGCCGGAGCCATACGCAGCCAATCGCCTGCTCCGAGAACCTTCTGTCGTCAGCTTTCGCAAGGATCGAGCGTTGGATGAAGTGTTCCGACGGCCCTTCCGGGGAGACACGATTCGGACGACGACCAGAGAAATGGAGATGATCGACGGGCAGGGTTCCGCAAATGCAGTGGACCAGTGGATGCAAGCCGCCGACAATGAAGGCGGCGCCAGTCCGCCAGCCGAGCAACCGAGGAGTGTGCTCGAGAGACTGGAGTTTAGGCGTCCCAGATTCAAGCGCGCGAGCACAAGCGACCGCATTCGAATGATGAAGCAAACAAGGGACTTTTCGACAGCGACACGCAGCGTTGCCAGCGATGGGCATCGGAGACACCCCTATCGTATACCAGAGGAAACGGAAGATCTCGAGATCAGTGTAGACACATTGCCGCAAGACACGGAGGCCGACGGCGACGATGAGATCAACGACGAGTCGGACGCGCACACGCCTGCTCTGGGCGAGAGCGCCCTCTCGATATCTGAACATCGCACTCCCGCAGACGAGAGCGACTCGGAATACTTTCAGACACCCACCGGACCCAACTCGCCCTTTGTACAGATGTCGCACGCTGCACAAGCGAGGACCCTACAATACTCGCCCGACGTCGCGAGAGGCGGTGGACCCACTCGAGCATCAGGACGGCCAGCACGAGGCCAGACCGACAGGCATGCATCATCCACGACCGTCCTGTTCGCTCCTCGGATTGAATTCGATTCGTCTGCATCGAATCCGAAGCAATTCCGCGCTGGGCAGGCGGCAAAGAATACCACCCACAATATCAGGAAGGAGACCACTGCGCCCACGCCCAATCCCACTGGACCAAGTGGACGGACGCCAAAACGAGCATCGACACAGCAAGTCAAGGCACGTCCCATCATGCCTGCACGCCAGCAGAGTACACCCAACGCCGCTGCATTTGGTGGTTTGAGTTTCTTGGAACGGCCGCGCCCGCGAGTGACGTCCTTTAACGCTCGTGCTCTCGACCTCGCCAGCGAGATTGGAGACAATAAATTCACGGGTCCTGCTGGCATCGATGCAGGCGGGATTGATGGCATGCCTTCTTCCTTCAACGAACAAATGATGCGCGAACACCAATTGCGTCGACGCGAAGAGGAAGACCGTCGTCGTAGCGAAGACGAAGAGAAGGGCATGGTCAACCGCATCATGTTGGCACGAATGCATACTCTCGAGGAGGGCTTTAGAGAAGTCCTCAAGGAAATCAAGGACATGAGTCAGCATACTACGAATTCTTCGAGGAGAGAAAGTGAAGTCGATTCCAGTTCGGGACCGATTCGTCATCACAAGAAGAGTTCATCGAAATCCAACATTGATGTCCGAAACGTGTTGGGTGCGGGATCGGGCTGGCAGACTCCGCGAACTCCTATTGCAATTGGTCGAATTGGAGGGAATGATAAGAGTAAGAAGGCAAGTCCCAGTAAGAAGAATCTGAGGACGAACAATAGTAAGAAGGTGAGTGATGATGGTGGACTGGTACCAGCTGAGCCTTCTACGACAACTGCATCCAGTAGCAGTGAGCTGCAACAGTCTCACGAGCAACTTCGCGCGGGACTAGAGGCGGACAGGGGATGGATGAATCGCGAAGCTACGCAAGTAATACCTCCGGAGCTCCAGGAGGATGGCCAGGCCAGTCCGGAGTCTGTCCAGAGTGTGGTTGAAGTTGCCCGTCAAGATGAGGCGCGACGAAACTTTTCTGGGAGACCAAGTACTGCCATTCACGATGATGAACTAATTGATCTTGGAAGAAGAAGAAGCGGAAATGATGATAATAATGATGATAATCGCGAGTGATGAGGTGCAACGGCTACTCTATGTACAATCAACAGCAAATGCGAGATGAGCGTGGTTGGCCGGTTGATCGGTTTGGCGTTTTCTGATTATCATTTTCGAGGACCGCTTGGAAATTGGGGATTGGGGTGGTAATGCATCAATAGATGGAGAAGATGTGTGTGAAGCGGATATTTGTTTGCAAATTTCCTGCAATGACAATTTGTCTATTCTACAGTACCTGTATCTACCTACAGCGACATTATTGGGTTGACATGTATCATGTATGTTCGACATCCTACCCTAGGTAGTTAGCATCAGCTTTAACCTTGATGATATGCTTTTTCCCCCCATTCGACCGACTGTCTGTCTCCTCTTGTTGATGAGTCGTACCTCTCCTAAGCTCCCCCAAATGATCGCCAGTCTCTACTTCCTATCTGTAATCAGCTATACAAGAACCTCGGTTCTCTCTCCAAGCTTAGGTGATTACTATTCACGCTCGTTATTAGTACCTCTAGGTAGTAAGGCCGTACTTTGAAGTGCATTCCACCTACCACCTACCTACCACTTGAACAACACTTCCACCTTCCAAACCCCCGAGAAACAACCAAGTCGAAAAACCCCAAATCTAGAAGAAAAGGAGAAAAAAAGAAGAAAAACATGCCCCTCTACGAAATCCGCCACACAACCCCCCTCACCCCCACCCAATGCGATCGTCTCGCCTCATCCCTCACAAATTTACATTCGACCAAATTCTCTACACCGAAATTCTTCGTCAATGTAGTTTTTTTCTTCTCTGACCAAAATTCCACTTCTGCTTCCAACAATTCTTCGACTTCCGATTCGACTTCCACTACTCGGACATATGTGGGAGGAAAACAACTCCAAGAGAATAATTACATTGTCGCAAATGTGCGTTCGGGACCGAGTCGGACGCAGAAGGAATGGGATGGGTTGTGTGAAGAGGTTGTGAAGATTTGGGAGGGGATAGTTTGTCATGATGGGAAGGATGGGAATGATGGGATTGATGAGAAGAAGGGTGATGATGGAAAGGGATTAAGGGCAGTTTTTGTAATGGGAGGTTTAATTGCGGGGTGGGAGGCAGGGTTTGTGATTCCTAAGGCGGGAGAGGATGGGGAGTGGTTGAAAAAGAATTTGGGAGAGTTTGAGAGGAGGGCGAGGTTGGGGGAGGGCATGTTTGGGGATTTGGTGGAGGAGATTGGGGAGAGGGGGTTGTTGGGGGAGGGGAAGTAGGGAGGAGGAGGGTGGTTGGTAGTCTGTCTGTGATAATACGCCTGTTACGATGCTCTCTCTCGCTTTGCTATCATTTTCCATCATCATAATAATCACACATGGGTGCATGCCAGCACCTCTTTCATTTCTCATTTTGGTTGTTGTAAGCAGCTGCTCATTCCACCTCTTCAAACTGCAGCATTCATTCATCCTCGCCCAACACACTTCCCCCAAGCAGGAAGTCCACACCCAAAACCCACAAACAAATATAACAAAAACACTATCACCACCACCAACAACACCATCAATTTCACATTTTTCCACCACATCCTCCTCTTCAATCCACGACTCCGCACCCGAAAATCCCTCGCACTCCCACCCAAGCGATCCGTCTTATCCACCAACAAATCAATCCTCTCCCCTCTCTCCAACACCCGTTCAATATTCTCCGTCATAATACCCCTCACATTCTCAATCTCGCTCTGCACATTTCGAAACGCATCTTGTTGTCCACTCTTCGTCGTGCCATATTCCACCATGAGTTTCTTCAACTCGCTGTTGAACGCCGCTGCGCCATAGGCGGGTAACGAGCTGAATGAAGTCCGCTCCGGGTCGTATTGTGCGAGAAAGCGCTTTTTGATCTCCACGAGGAAGCCAAAGGGGACTCTTCTTCCCAAGTCGGCTTTGGCGACTACGAGATAGGTCAGGCCTGCTGCGCTGAGTGCGTCGGGGCTAGAGGAGGTGGAGGCATCGGCGATGTAGTGGATGAAATTGTCGTGGATAGTGTAGGTGAGTTTAGAAGGTTCGTCGTGGGAGATTTTGGGCAGAATGACGGAGGCGAGGTTGGAGGTGGTGGTGGAGGATGCGGATGCGCCGCTGGTGTGTTCGCTGAGGATGGTGGAGTGGTGGGCGATGCAGCTGTAGAGGAGCGGTGTGGCGGGAATCGAGCCGGATGCCATGTTGGTTTTATCGTCTGTTGAGTAGCTTGGTCGTGGAGGAGAAGGTGTTGATTACTGCTGGTATTGGTATTGTCGTGTCTTGGATCAACAATTTCGATGCCTAAACAACAACAGCAACACGCGCAAACTGTAACTGGAACGGAGCCACCTTCGTCATTTATTCACTTTAACGAGTGCCGCTTGTCCGAAAGAGGCAGAGTGGATTCCCAACTTGCGGGGTAAGGTTCGAAGCTAATTCGCCAAGGACACAACGACTCGACAATGGCTCTCACCGCTGTACATGCAGACTCTCTTACCTCTGACGAAGCTGCACTTGCTCGTGTTTCCTCGTAACAGAAAACATTATCAACATCAGCAACATCAGCAAGACCAAGAAGAACACACCAAACATCACCATATCAAAAGACCTCAGAGTTGAAAGTATCCGGATACACATATACACACACCTCAACATACAAGTCCACTCCTCCTCCTCACCAGCTCTACCAATCATGGGTCTGGAACGATACATAACGTGAGCTCTACCTCATCCCACCCACCATATCACAACAAGGAACTACTACTTCCTTGATTCTCAGAACTACCCTACCTAGGTACTAGGTCTCGCACAGCTGACCATTGTCTCTCTCTCTTCTAGCCGTCGCAACACAGCCATCATCTCGGCTACAGTTGTAGCAGCTTCATACTTTGCCGTACGCTATCGAGAGGATCAGAATCTGAAGTTGAACAAAGATACATATCATGTGAGGCCGGAGAGATCGGGTATGTTTTCGTTTCATCTCATTCCTTTTTGACTTCTTGTCTTGTCCATAACACTGTGTCTCTCATTTTCTTTGGAAGATCTGAGAAACTACAAGAGATGCACGCTGATGCTGATGGGTATCCTTGTGTAGGTGGCGGTGTTTGAAATGGGCGCTGCCCGCTTGGCTCAGGATATGCCTCTCTATGGTACAACATGCTGGTGTGGAGCTGTATAGTATCTCTGTACAACAAGTAAAGCCGAATTGAGAAACGTGTTGGTCGATATTGCCATTTCTTGTTGATGTTTATTCGTCCACACCAAGTCATCTAGCATCAGAAGTGCGGGAGGGAGGCCCGCGGCGGAACTCCCGTTTGTGGCTATGGCAGTGTGGCTGAGGCTCGGAGCTCCATCCCTGGAGCAGGTAACCGGAACTTGTCCTGCCTCCAAATGCCCCAACAACCACAACTCACTCTCCACCACCACTTCACTTCACTTCACTCCACCATCTCCTTCGAAACGCGCCTCATCTTCCCCGACTTCGCCTGTCCGCCCTCCAATCTCGCGACACCTTCCTCCTAGTCAGATACTCGGTCCCTCGACAGGAGAGTCCGCGCAAGATGGACTTCTCGGATATCTTGTCAGTAGCTACGCGCATGCGACTCGACGATTATCGCTGGCCAAACCCCGTACTGACACTCCTATCAGCCGGATCGTGAACCTAGTGGTGGGTGTATTGATGATACTGGGAGGAATTGGTCAATTCTGGCCTTCATTCTCGGTGTAAGAGACGCCGCGCGTGCGCAACCATACATCAGGCAGGCGATATAGTGCTGATGGCTCGAACAGACAAGCCATTATCATTGCGGTATACCTTTGGATATTCGGGTTGGGTAAGCCGGGACCACAATCACACCTAACCGCGTGAAAGATGAGGATGCTAACTATTGATGTGTTACAGCCACGGCCGCTCTTGGTATGACACCGAAACCCGCCTCTTCGAGCCCTCATTCCGCCCACTAATGCCCACTCGCAGAGTTCCAGATCCCACCCCAAGTCGCGCGATATGCCTCGTTCATGTTCTCATTCATCGGCCGAGGAATCTGTAAGAGCTGTGCAGCATCAGTAGGACTGGGCGCAGAACTGACACACTGAGTAGTCTATGTCTTCATGGGATGCATCGTCATGGGTGACAAATGGTGGAAGTACCTCGATGGTGCGCTCGTCGTGCTGGTCGGAATCGGATACATTGCGCTCGAATTCGTTCCCAGCATCGAGCCGCCTGCGAACATGAGGGACGCCGACGCCGGCTGGGGAGCTGAGCAGGTTTAGATCTGCTATGGAGTCATATGACTTCTCAGGACCAGCCATGCGCGACTGATCACGATCGTGGGCATTCGTGGGCCGGACGGTCGTGAGCGGGAGCGAGACGTGTCCAAAGTTCAATATAATCCACGGAAGGTGACACCTGATCTTTCGGGGCCTGATGGTATGAATAACGCTCGCCAGGCTATGTAGCGCGCGATCTTGCACAAAGTCCGCTAGCAGCCCAAGGAAGTGCAATCCCTAAGGACCAGGTAGTTTTGTCGAGTGAGGATCGATGCTCGCTCGCACGCAGATTCCAGGATTCGTGCGAGGAGGTAATGATGCGTACGCACTTGTACATATGTTTTGTTACTCGATTTTACCCCCATGAGCGCTCTCTCTCTCTCTCTCTCTCTCTCTCTCTCTCTCTCTCTCTCTCTCTCTCTCTCTT